GTTACAGCAGCAATAGAAAACTACAATACATTAACTAATACAATATCTAACAAATAATACATTAGAAAATGGGTAGAGGATACGACCAGGTGATTACAGAAATCCATATGGTTACTAGACATATGAAAAGTCACTTGTTTTCATGGTCTTGGGGATGGAGAGACCCAGGGAGAAAAGAGAGCAGAGGGCTGAGAAGAAACAGTCAGAAAAGATATGTGGTGAACTTGTGGGTCAAGTGAATGAAGACGAGAACAATACCCAGTACCAAGCACAGTTGCCAAGACTCAGACTACCTGTGCTTGTGTGAATGGATGTTTTTTTTGTTGTTGTCGACATGCTATTAAGTTGTTCCCTCTCAAGGGCAGCTTTGGGCTATGCTCACCTGGCCCTGTAGCCTCACCCTGTAGAGTAGGGCTGTGTGGACTCCAGATGTGATCATTTGTGAACATCCATAAAAGAGAGTTAAGCCTGAAGAATTCTGAGCGCTCCGTTTCTGGGACTTGAACCTGAGGGGATATGGCTACAGCAGAATTGCAAATTGACATTTTCAGTACTCTAGATTCCAAAGAAGACATGAACAGGAGTTGTCTAATTCAGCTAGTTTATTAGGATTTCCATTTTTTGTCTTCACATCCCCACCCTCCCCCTGGTTTGGCTGCAGGTCTTGGCATATCAAGTGCTAGTATTACCAGCCTTTTCTCTACTGACTAGATTTGGGGGTAGGAGTCGACAGTTACCCAGGCATTTGGCTAACACCTTTTGGAAACCCCTGGTAAGGGAAACCTTGAGGGTAGGGGAGGAGAGATGCTTCTCCATGCGGGCCCAAGGACAGTGCTTACAGTGGTGAGGAGTCGGGATGTCACTTGCTCTCAGCCCTGCCTCTGGCTGATCCTGGGGACGTGAAGCTTTGGGGAGAAGCTGCTGGGGAAGAGCAGTATGTTGAGAGCTCTTGCCCCTGTGCTGAGACCTTTGGGAAAATGTGCTTACAGGGGCCTCTACTAGGCTACTGGCCTGGGCAGGGTGGTGGTTCCCTGTGACTGTGGATAACCCCAACCTTGGACTGTCTCCTCTGTGGTCTCCCACTTTGGGTTTTCTAGGGTGCTCTCTCTTTTTGGCTGAGGATAAGGCTGAAGCCTTGTCCTTCCTCTTGCCTGAGACCAGAACCTTAGAGTTTGAGGGTTCTGGGCCTGGAGATGGATAGTTCACACCAGCCTCCATGTGTACACATGGTCCTTGGGATGGGATCTGGCCCACCATCTTCCCTTTCATTTTCTTTCCTCTCTGAGACCCTTGTTCTGCCCTGCCAGACTTCCGTGGCTGAAGCTGGGAAGAGGATTGGGAGTAATGACTGTGGGAGGAATAGACAGGCTGAGATACTGTGCCCTGAACTTTTTGAGGATGACAACTTGAAGAGCAGGGGCATAGATTGGGGGGATTAATCTGCTGTGGGGTGCAGGAAGGGAGTCCCCAGGAGTTTGGAATTGTGATGCTCAGAATAGGGGAACTACAAAATGGTTGACTTGGGGCTCTGGAGGCAGGGCTCTGCCGCAGTTTCTTCAGCCTGAGTTTCAGCTCTCTACTCCACTGCCAGGCATGGATCCCAGAGTGGGTGAGCACCTCTGGGACAGTCCCTTTGTGGGAGAGTGGGGCCTCTGCCTTAACCCCTGGGAATGTCTCTCCCTTGGGTAGACCAGGATGGATGGGCTCAATCTTTACAGCTTCCGCTAGGGTGGGAGGCCAGGGTACTGGCTGTAGGGGATCCACTGCAGGAGGGCTGGGGCCTTGGGGAACTTCTCTTTGTTGTACATTTCTCCACACAAATTCAAGGTCAGTGTGTTGCTCTGGTAGAGGCGTAGAGAGTGAGCTGGGGGCTGGGAGCTCAGTGGCCCAGTGGTTCTTTCTTTGCTCCATTGCTCCCCTGTCAGGCTTACAGTTGTTTTGGTCTGCGATAGGGTCACCTATGTGGGACTTTGAAACACAGTTTGAGGATGGGCTGGGTCCCCCAATTGGGGACACAGGAGGACAGTTTTCTTTTTGCCACATTTCCCGTACAGTAGGCTGAGATTCAGACAAGACTCCCAGAGGGCTGACTCCATGCAGGTCTTGGGGTAAGCTGCAAGCTGGGTGCTTAGAGGCCCAGGAGTCCTTTCTCCTTTGTATGTCTCCATATCTGGCCTCAGAATTAGACAGGAACCTCATGGATCTAACTCTGAGTGGCTCCAGAGCAAGAGCTGGGGGTAGGCTGAGGGCCAGAGATCGGGGCTTAGAAGCCCAGGAATTCGTAGAATACTCAGTGTCTTTCCACGTAGCTTCTGATGTAGTGAGGCCTTCCACAGGACTGATTCTTTGTGGTTCTATAAGGGAAGTTGGAGGTGTGCTATGAACAGGATCTGGGGAATCCAATGCCCAGAGCTTCTTTTTCTGCCCCCTGGTCTCCCACAAAGCTTTGGATTCAGACAAGACTTCCTGGAGGCCCATTACTAGAGATACCAGGAGAGGGGCTGAGGGAAGGCTGGGAGGTGAAACTGGGTCTGCAGGGACCCAAATATTTTCTTTACTGTGCATGCGCTTCCATGGTGTCTCAGATCCTGATGGGACACATGCAAGGCTGGTTCCAGAGAGCCCTGGATTGAGGTCCATGGCTGGAGGCTCAAAAGCCCAGAGGTCTCCTGAGTTTTCTGTGCATTCCCACTGGGGCTTATATCTGGATGGATCTTCCAGGGGACTCTGTTCCTGGAGTTCTGGCAGGGAGTCTAGGGGAGGGCAAGGGACTGTCATTGAAGACTCAGAAGCCTGAGGTTTCTCTTTGTATCCCATGGTTCCCAAGAAGTCCTTAGGTATAGCAAGTTCTCCTTCAAGGCTAACTTTTTTGGATTCTGACAGAGAAGCTGGGGATTGGCAGGGGGCTTCTGTCAGAGACTCAAAAGCTTGGGGCCTCTTTTTGTGTCCTCTGATTTCCAACTGAGTCTCATATCCAGGGAGAACTTCCAGGAGGCTAGTTCCAGGGGACTGTGTGGGTACCTCAGCACCAAATAGAACTCCCTTGTGGTCCACAGGCAAGGGCTTCAGATGGAGGGGTAGTGATGAGACAGGAGTTGATGGAGGTGGAAGCAACTGCGGATCAGGGGCCATCCCTTCTAGATCTTCCATAGTATGGGCTTCATGGGTAGAAAACTGGGCTGAGGAGTGATACTGGGGCAGCAACAGGTTGGACCTAGGTAGGAAGGCAAGCTTGTTGAAGAAGACAGAAGAACAGACAGACAACTTCAGAGGAGAGGGGCCACCTGAGCTTAGGCAGATGGTCTCCAAAGACTCGCTGTGCAGAGAGGGGAGACCCCAGAAGAGCTGGCTTTTTCTCTGCTGCTCATGGTTCCCTGATGCTGTCTTGTGCCTCACAGGAAAGTTGGTCAGAATCTGGAAGATGGGGAAGGATCTGGAAGGGCTCATGGGCTGCGTGACTGTTTGCTCTGGTATCCTTGTGGTCTTGAGGAGGCCCTCAGAACCACAGGATGGCTGGAGTGGGGCTGGAGTGGCTTGCTCTTCATTGGGAGCTTCTTTGGTAGGAGAACATGGCTCCAGTGGATCCAGAGATGCCTCGTCTTCCCCCTCTTCCCCCTCTTCTTCCCCTTCTTCCTCCACTTCTGATTTCTGCTTACAAAGGCAATCAAGAAAGTCCACATGGTACAGAAGTGGCAGATTCTGGGAAGTAGAGAAAGATACTCTCAGGCATGAAGCCTTTTCAGATACACAAGATTTGTTATGAGGGACTCAGTCTGCTCCACATCCACAGTGGACAGTTATTCACCTAATCCCACGTGTGTGGTCAGTCACCTACACAGCTCCTCATCTAGTGTTAATGGTCATTACCCAATCCTCATTTGGAGATCAGTATTCTCTCACATAACCCTACATTTAGAGTCCATGGTCACCTGGCTTCAAATCTAGTGTCAGTGGTTACTCACCCAGCCTCACATCTAAGGCTAACAGTCACTCACCTGGGCCCACATTCATACCAGTGACCTCACATGTGGTGTCAGCAGTCATTCATCCAGCTGTACACTCAGAGGTCACCCACCTTGCCTTGCACCATTTCCCCAGAGCACCAGAGATGAAGCTGTCGCAACCTCCCAAGCTGCCACCATCTCCGGATCTGCCAAACCAAGAATAAGAATAGTGTCACCAAATTTCCTGGACTCTGAAGGCAGCTGCTGCCGCAGTGTCTGCAGGCTAGGACATGGGTCAGTTGGCCCCTGAGAAGTCCCATATCCCCCTCAGCCCCAATCAGGTCCTCCAGTAGCCATTCCATTTTCCTTAGCCTAGTGGCAGTTTACCCTGAGGTCATCATTGCATCACAGAACAAAGAACTCCCATCCCCCACAGAGGCCCAGGCTGAGCCACCTTCTCCCTTTATTTAGAACCAAAATTTCCTCCATCAGGCAATTCATACTCCATACAGTGAAATGTGAGTGATCCCCTTTTGATTGCCCAGTTCAGAATTATGCTTCAGGTATTGTGGTTAAGGACATGGATTCCGAACTGCCTTATTCAAATCCTAGTTCTGCCATTTCCTACCTGTGAAAACTCAAACTACTTAATCTTTTCAGTGCCTCATTTTTCTTATCTATAAAATAAAGATATAATTACTATTATTATTTTAAGACAGAGTCTCACTTTGTCACCCAGGCTGGAGTACAGTGGCGTCATCACGACTCACTGTAGCCTCAACCTCCTGGGCTCAAGTGATCCTCCTGCCTCGGCCTCCTGAGTAGCTGGGACCACAGGCAAGTGCCACCATGCCCAGCTAATTTTTAAATTTTTAATTTTTGTAGAGACAGGATCTCCCTATATTGTCCAGCTGGTCTGGACTCCTGGGCTCTGGGGATCCTCCTGCCTTGGCCTCCCAAGTGGTGGGATTATAGGCATAAGCCACCTTGCCTGGCTTATTATTTTTAGTAGCAGGGTCTCATTTTATTGCTGAGGCTGATCTTGACCTCCTGAGCTCAAGAGACCCTCCCACCTCAGCCTCTGAGTAGCTGGGATTACAGGCATGGGCCACTGTACCTGGCATGATAATATTACTACACAGGGTTATTGGGAGGATTAAATGAATAAATGTACATACTTAGAATAATACCTGGTACATAGTGTATGCTGTATTTCTATTTAAGATTTCTGATTACAAGTTTCATTCTGTCTTTAATGGTTGGGGTCTGTCCCCTCTTTTTTATGCTCATGCCAGCTGTGAACTGTCTTCTTTGACATTAGGTTGCCTGAGTGAGATCTATTTGAGAAGCATTCATGTTAAGGATGACTAATAAATATGTTTTGCTGTTCTCATTTCCTCCATTTGCCCCTAAAACCACCAGTTTGTTCCATGTCAACCCTTCCTTTCAGGGCCAAACTTCAATCCCTGCCCTCATCAAAAGCTTATTTGTTCTGGTGGACAGTGTGCTGAGCTGAAAGTGAAGAGACTTGGGTTCTCTAGCTCCATCACTGATCTGTCACATGATCTTGAGAAACCAAGAGAGATTTCTCCATTGGTACCATGAGTTGGACTAGACTGATTGATTTATTCATGCAACATTTGTTGAATGCCTATTATAGATCTGGTGCTCAGTCTTGAAACTACAGAAGTAAGATAGAGTCTCTGTACTAAACTAGGTCCCATTTCATTGGGGGATCAGTGAAGTAATAGATAATGAAAATAGAGATATGCAGAGTATTATGGGGCCAGAGAACAGATACCTACCAGTCTGAAGAAGGATATTGATGGTGAGGGTTGCTTCCCAGAAGAGATGATTAATGCTTGGTTTGAGGAACCAAGAAAATGAGGATGTAGTGTAGGTAGTGAGAGAAGGACAATTCAGGCAGTAGGAACAGCCTGTGTAAATGTGCTAGGGCAGAGAAACTATGCCCCATTATGGAAATTGAAGGTATTTCAGTGTGGCTGCAGTTTTGGTTGGGGGTTGGGGAAGCGGTAGGAGATGAACCTGGAAAGATAAGATCACAAAGCCCCTGAATACTAGGCTAAGAAGTTGGAACTCTGTCACTTTTCAATGTGAAACCATTGGAAAGTTTTATTTTATTTTATTTATTTATTTATTTTTCTTTTTTTTCCTTTTCCGATTCATGTTCGACTCCTAAGAACTTATATTTATTTATTTTTAATAAAGACGGGGTTTCACTATGTTGGTCAGGCTGGTCTTGAACTCCCGACCTCAGCTAATCCGCCCACCTCGGCCTCCAAAGTGCTTGGATTATAGGCGTGAGCCAACACAACCGGCCCATTGGAAAGTTTTAAACAGGTAAGTGACAAGATCCAGTTTGTGTCTTGGAAATAACATTCTAGTGAGAGTAAAGACACCAAAGACAAGAGGTTAGGTAGCTCTTACTTTAGTAAAAGATAAACTAAAGTGAGGTCTGAAGAATGGCAGTGATAGTGGGCATGGGGAATAATGGATCCAAGTAGAATTCTAGAGATAAAATTGATTAGACTTGGTTAGCAATAGGATGGGTTGGGGTAGAGAGGAAGTTGAGGGTGACTCCAAGATTTCTGACTTGGGAAACTAGATGTTTGTTGGTGCAGTTTCACTGAGATAAGGAACAAAGACCTGGGAACCAAGTTAGGGTGGTTGGGGGCAGTGATGGGTTCCATTTTAGACATTTGAATTTGAGGTTCTGATGTTACCTCAAGGTAAAGGTAGGCAAGAGACAGATACATGGATCTGAAGCTTGGGAGAGCAGTCTATGAGGGGATGTAGATTTGACATCTGGCAGCACATATGTGGTAGCTGAAACCATTGAAGGGCATAAAGATGACCTACTTACATGTAATATTTGGCCCAGACAGTGCTTTTTAACTGTGACCAACAGTGTTTTTTTTAAAAAAACTTGAATGAGTATCCAATATTGTAAATCAGTAGATTGTACATAATAATATTTCCAACTTAAAATCTGGCAACACTGGACTTATATTCCCACAAAGTAAAGGCTATTTGGAGCTAAGTAGCAATTGCTCCCTCTGGAATGAACTTGTGCTCTCCAGTTCACTGCAGTTCTCACCCTGTTCTTAGAGTAAATGCCAAGACTGGGTATGGTGATTACTCACAACTATAATCCCAGCACTTTGGAAGGCCAAGGCAAGAGGATTGCTTGAGACCAGAAGTTCAAGGCTGCAGTGAGCAATGATCATGCCGCTACACTCCAGCCAGAGCAACAGGTGAGATCATGTCCCAAAAAAAAAAAAAAAAAGTTTAATGCCAAGATTAAGGGCTAGTTGCTGTTGATCATTATGTCTATGATTTTGCTTTCTTCTACTTGTCTATTTTTACTAATTTCTATTATCTGCATGGTATTTGAAATTGCAATCACTGGATGAAGAAGGTAAATTGAGTCCTGATGGGAGACAGAGAAGGTAATACTCAACACTTATTCTATGCTTGTTAATTTACATTTATGGCAAGATAATTTACCAGTGTCTGTCTCCTACTCTTTGCCAGATGGGATGACTAGTAGGATAAAAAGATAGTTTTGCTCAACTTTCTTCCAGGAATACTAGATTTCTTGTCTCAAGGAATTGTTTGTTTTTTGAGACAGGGTCTTACTTGTCACCCAGGCTGCAATGCAGTGGCATGATCTCAGTTTACTACAGCCTTGACCTCCCAGGTTCAAGTGATCCTCCCATCTCAGCCTCCAGAGTAGCTGGCACTGCAGGCACACACACCACCACACCTGGCTAATTTTTTTTTTTTTTTTGGAGACGGAGTCTCGCTCTTGTTACCCAGGCTGGAGTGCAATGGCGCGATCTCGGCTCACCGCAACCTCCGCCTCCTGGGTTCAAGCAATTCTCCTGCCCGGCCTCCTGAGTAGCTGGGATTACAGGCACGCATCACCATGCCCAGCTAATGTTTTGTATTTTTAGTAGAGACGGGGTTTCACCATGTTGACCAGGATGGTCTCTATCTCTTGACCTCGTGATCCATCCGCCTCAGCCTCCCAAAGTGCTGGGATTACAAGCGTGAGCCACCGCACCCGGCCTTTTTTTTTTTTTTTTTTTTGGTAGAGACGATGTTTCACAATGTTGCCCAGGCTGGTTGTGAAAACTCCTGGGCTTAAGCAGCCCACCTGCTTCTGCCTCCCAGTGTTGGGATTGTGTGTGTGCTACCCCACCTGGCCTGTCTCATGGGATTGTTAGTGGATTTTGTGTTTCCAAACCAAAAAAAAACAAAAACAAAAACAAAAAAACACCACGCAGCTAAATTAAATTCCTCCCTCCCCCACCACAGAACCTGGATAAAGTTGTAGAACAGTGGGACAATCTCAGCTCACTGCAACCTTCCCCTCCCGGGTTCAAGCAATTCTCCTGCTTCAATCTCCCAAATATCTGGGATACAGGTGCCTGCCACCATGCCTGGCTAATTTTTGTATTTTTATTAGAGATGGCATTTCACCATGTTGTCCAGGCTGGTCTTGAACTCCTGACCTCAGGTGATCGGCTCACCTCAGCCTCCCAAAGTGCTGGGATTCCAAGGGTGAGGACACCACACTTGGCCATGACTTCTGATAGGGAGCGCTGATTTAATGGCTGTGGGACTAAGCATCTAGCACTTCATCTTGGGAATTGTGGAGATCTGGTGTGCATACTTGACAGAGATGCTGTGAATCTGCCTGCCTTTGAATGGACCATAGGGGTGTAGACAATGGTCATCCTAGGAGCAACCATGACAGACTGAAGACCAGAGGCTCTCTTCTCTCTTCTCGTCTCTTCTTTCTTTTCTTTCTTTTTTTCTTTCTTGCTTTTCTTTTTCTCTCTTTCTTTCTTTTCTTTCTCTTTTTATGGGGTCTCTCTATGTTGCCCACACTGGTCTCCAACTCCTGGACTCAAGTGATCACCCCACCTCAGCCTCCCGAAGTGCAGGGATTATAGGCCTGAGCCACCATGCCTGGTCCAGAGGCTCTTTTCTAAGTTTTTTGTTTGTTTGTTTGTTTTGGTCAGTGTACAACATGCTAAAGAGGGAAGTGGGCCCTAATAAATGGTTGATGTTGGTTGTCTTTTTACCCTAGTAAATGGGGTTTTGAGCCAGACTTAATTTAGAAAAATTAAATAATGTGATATTTTTTGCTCCTCAGAGATGTGGAACACATTTATACACTAACATTTATTATCTCATTTAATCTTTTTTCTTTCTTTTCTTTTTTTTTTTTTTTTTGGCTTAAACAACAAACATTTATTTCTCATAATTCTGGAGGCTGGGAAGTCCAAGATCACAGCCTCCTCAACTTCTTTTCCCCTCTGCCCCCAACAGCCAGCAGGTCTCAGAGGAACCAGAAAACGTCAGATGGTAACTTTTCATTATGAAAAACCATTGCATCCAATCTACTTCTGTCCTGCTACTGTGGCTGGTGCCTTCTAGAGACCTCCCTTGACTCTCCCAAGCCAGGATGAGTGTCCTTATCACTGCTTCCCCACGCCCCACACACAGCGCTTTCCACACTAGATTGTTACTTGTGGCTTAAATATGCCTTTTCAGACGGCAGGAACCTGGTCACCCAGTTCACTGTTCTAACCACAGCAACTGGCGCTTAGTGTCTGGTTAGGACTTAGCGCCCTCTGCGTGAATGAATTAAACTATGGGCGTGGTTTCTGGGAGAGGCCCCGCCCAGTCTGCTCCGCGATGGAGCCTACCCTGGGGCTGGGCCGCCAGTGGGCGTTTTCTCCAGGCTGCCTAGCAGCGACTTCCCCTGGTATCTGCCCAGGAGGCTGAAAGCTCCTTTGCTTCCTTGACATGAGAGCTGGGCATTTAAGCTCACAACTGTGATTCGGGCGGAGCGCCCAAGAGGTCTTTCCGCTGCAGGACCCGCCCCACCTCCTAGGCTCTCGGGCTCCTGGGACCTGAGCCGGAGTCTGCAGCGTCCTTCGAAACTCACAGGTTCTGCCTCTCTAACCTTCCCTCTGCCTTTCCGAAACTTCTCCTGCTACTCCTCTCTCCTCTTCCACCCTCACCTTAGGGATGCAGCGTTAAGGGCCCGGCCAGTGGCCCAACTCCAGTTGCCACCTGGGCTTGGACTGGTCTCGACCAGTGTCTGAGAGGCCCAGTGTCCTGGCAGTGGCAGGATTGGTCAGGACAGTGAGATCTCACGGAGCCATCCCTCCGTGAGTGGTCAGTTTCTCAAACTCTGCCTGCGGGGCCGACGTCCACAGGAGGATAATGCCCACGGTCCTGGGGGAATTGTTTCCTAAGGGATGAGGGAGCTGTGAGGCCGCAGTGCCCCTGGTGGGCCAGTGGGAATGGGGAGTGGGAGCCCCGAAAAGGTCCATGGGGCAGCAGCTAGAGGTGAGATCGAGTCCCGAGGGGCAGAAGCTGAACCTGCTTTGCTAGCCCAGGATGGCATCTCGGAGGCCAAGCCATGGTGAGGCCTCTGGCAGACAGGAGAGGCTGCAGCCTTCTAGAAGGGAGGAGCCTTTACGGCAGCTGCCTTCACATCTAGGTATTGCCACATGACTGTGTTTTGTGAGGGGCTCCTGTGTGTCAGGTCCTGTGTTTCATAGGAACTCTAGCTATGTCCCAGTAGAGGTGGTAGAAAATGTTGTTTCTTTTAAAGTTTTCTCCATTATGATAATATATACTGAATTTGGAAGATGTGAAAAGGAAGAATCTCATCAGCCTCAAGTTTCCATATTTGCTGTTTCTATAGCAGTTTGATATATTTATTTCCAGACTTTGTTACTCATATTTTCATATTGTTTAAACCATATGTAATGTTTTTTCTTTTCTTTTTTTTTTTTTTTTTGAGACGGAGTCTGGCTCTGTTGCCCAGGCTCATTGCAACCTCCGCCTCCAGGGTTCAAGCAGTTCTCCTGCCTCAGCCTCCCAAGTAGCTGGAATTATAGGTGCCTGCCACCGCACCCAGCTCATTTTTGTATATTTACTAGAGACAGAGTTTCACCATCTTGGCCAGGCTGATCTCAAACTCCTGACCTGCCTCAGCCTCCCAAAGTGCTGGGATTACAGGTGTGAGCCATTGCACCTGGCCTGTAGTGTTATTTAAAGGTAGGAAAGCAGTTAACAATTTATTATAAACCTTTTTTACACACTGTAAACTTTCTAAACATTTTTTTTTTTTAATTGAGATAGAGTCTTGCTCTGTTAACCAGGCTGGAGTGCAATGGCATGAGCTCGGCTTACTGCAAACTCCCTGTCTCCCAGGTTCAAGTGATTCTCCTCCCTCAGCCTCCTGAGTAGCTGGGATTATAGGCATGTACTACCACACCTGGCTAATTTTTTTTTTTTTTTTTTTTTTTTTGAGATGGAGTCTTGCTCTTTTCCATGTTTGGTTTTCCATGTTGGCCAGGCTGGTCTCAAACTCCTGGGCTCAAGTGATCAGCCCGCCTCTGCCTCCCAAAATGCTGGGATTACAGGTGTAAGCCACTGAAGCCTGGCCTAAACATCATTTTTAATGACTATGATATTTTCTGAAGTGGATATACCATAATAATTAACCATTCTATTGTTTTTTGCTTTTAGATGGTTTCCAATTTTTGATTCTGTAAGACCTGTTTAATATTTATACATATTTATATTCTGCTTTTAAGCATTTTTTAAAAACCCATAAAACTTGTCATGAATTTCAGATTATTTCCTAATCCTGAATTCCACACTTGTTATCACTGTGCTTCTGTCTCTCCTTAGGTGACTTAGCCACTCTTCTAGTTAATTATTTCAGCATTAACTTCTCAAATGAGCTTCAATCTCATAAATCCAGTTGCTTGATAAACATCTCCAAGCTTGATTCCCCACAAGTACTCAGACCTAACATTTTCATTATTTAGGGCATTATCATCTGTCCCAACCTGCTCTTCCTGTTGTATCCCCCAAATAAATTAGTATTACCTAGTCACCCAAGCAGGAAACACAGGAGCCATTCTATGCTGCTTCCCCTTCATCCTTCCCAAAAGTAGTCGCCAGCTTTTGCTAATTTTAGCTGGGGTTTCTCAAACCTGCCTCTCCTCCCACCCTTACAGTCACTCTGGTAGTTCAGACCCTCATCATTTCTCCCGTAACCTGTGCAGTAATTGATCTGTAGCTGATCCTAGCTGATCTCTGTTCCTCCAGCTTTGTCCATCTTAAACCCTTTTCCCTCACTACTAACAAAGCAGTCTACCTAAAACAAAACTGACCATGATACTCCCCTCCTTGAAATCCTTCAGTGAGGCCATAC